TTTTAACTAACCAGATCTTGTGTGAACTCAGAGCAAGAACTTATTACTAAAAGGAGGACACCAAGCCATTCATGAGGGTTCCACTCCCATGACCCAAATACCTCTCAGCAGGCCGCACCTTCAGCATTGCAGATAACATTTCAACATGAGATTTGCAGGGGCAAACATCCAAACTCTAACAGTCCTAATGGCAGTTTTCTCTGTGGTAAGATATATGCAGGACAGGAATCGATCTCTGTTATGCTATTGAGGTATTATAGGACTCAGAGATCTTAAACTCTGTATTTCCTGCGTTCGTTAGTGAGGAACCAAATGATCTTGAGCAAGTTGCCTTTAATTAGTTTATATAAAAAATCACTTAAGACATTAAGACTGGATGAAATTAGGTGCACATTCAGTAGTTGGTAATTTTGCTGAGACTGAAACGTGTATTGAGAAACAAGGGGATACTTCCTTTAGCTAGAAAGAGAGGCAGCCAGTGGCCCAGGTTTGCCCACTTGTCGTTGAGCAGCCACCAGTGCCCCCCACCCCAACCGAACTGTCATCTTAGAATCATGAAAGAGTTACATAGTTTTGGGGTTTTTTTTGAAGTTATCATGGTTTATTGCATAGTTTTGGGGGAAATTACATGTCATAATGAAGTTTTTGAATTTGATCAACTGAAGGATTATTCCTTGGGAGAATGTTAAGGATCTAGTATTTTTATTGGCATTGCTGGTATACTCACTTCTGAGATTCAAGAGTTTGAGTTTTTTTCAAAGTCCTCTGGTCATATTAATAGAAAATTATGTTCAGTTATTACATGGATAATCCTTACATTGGTATTAAATTATAAATAACCCTTTTTGATAAGAATTTATTTTGACCTTCTCTTGATTAGAGGCCCACGGCATTGGCCAAAATTCTTGGAGTTTACAGAATTGGTTATAAGAACTCTCAGAACAACACTGAGAAGAAGTTAGATCTCCTTGTCATGGAAAATCTTTTCTATGGGAGAAAGATGGCACAGGTAAGGGTATTGGACTATGTGAAGCATTTAGCTACTGGAACCTTTTGTACCTTTGGTTCTTAAATACAGTGAATCAGAGAGTAACATCCTATTTTATAGTAAATATTTAACTTTGGTTACTAGCCCATATTTAACGTTTGACTTGCTCAGCCTTGGAGAAAGAACGAAGAGGAATTATTCTTGTGGGGCGGTCTTAAAATACAGCATATCCAATATTCTAGAATCACAGAATTGGTAGAATAAGAAGGCAGATCTACTTCCCACATCTTTTTTAAAGATTAAGAAGCTGACACCTACAGAAATTAAGTACTTAATCAAAATCACTCAGTTATTCCTAGACTCAGTCTAGATTCTAAAACAGTACTCTTCAAAGAGCTAGTCCTTGAACTGTTTGTAGTCTGTGATGAGATAAGGAACGTGTGTGCTAGAATGTAATTCAGTGCACTGCTTTCTTCACCGAGAACACCTTCTATGAGAAAAATGTCAGCTGAACTAAATAATATACTTAATAATGTAATTGATTTATATTCTGGCACTAGTTCCCTAATGTCGTAGTGAGCCAGGAGCAACTGACCAGCATTGGTCTGTAGAATATACTACAGGTTGTACTGGTCCTGGTACTCAAGTCCCCTGTCCTTTGAGTGCATTGCTTTTCCTACCACCCAAATATTCCTACGTTATGCTCTTCTACATTGCTGTAAGTAAGTGTCCAGAGTTTGGTATCAAAACTTTGTTTCTTAAGACTATTTGCATCTCTCTCTGTCTCTCTTTCTTTTAAACACTGTTTTGTGATCCAATGATATATTTCTGGAGTTACTTGTTAATGTATCTTAAAGTTGATTAAATTGGCCAGTGTATTTCGGAAATGTTTCAGTAATTGAGTACCTAGGTGTTAATTTTAAATGATAGATTATATTACTGTGTATTTTATGTACTATACAATGATATCAACATGCATTTAAAAACTTATTATTCAATTTTCAGTTAAACTTTGGAGTGTATGTAATGGTACTGACTATAAGGAGTCTTTCTGCCTTTTTGATTTACTTACATTAACTAATTTGTGGCAACCCATACATAAGTGACAAAGCATTTTCTTTCTCCTAGGTTTTTGATTTGAAGGGCTCTCTTAGGAATCGGAATGTAAAAACTGACACTGGAAAAGAGAGTTGTGATGTGGTCCTGCTAGATGAAAATCTCCTAAAGATGGTTCGAGACAACCCTTTATACATTCGTTCTCATTCCAAAGCTGTGCTGAGAACCTCGATCCATAGTGACTCCCATTTCCTTTCTAGCCACCTCATTATAGATTATTCTTTGCTGGTTGGGCGAGATGATACTAGCAATGAGCTAGTAGTTGGAATTATAGGTAAGTCAATGAGTATCCTACTTATATTTCATGATTGAAGTCAGAGTCAAATTTTAAAGATTCTGTTGAACTTGGTCTAATAGCTTATTGAATATTTTCACAAACTTTCATTTGACATTTCACAAATAACAGTTTTTTATTCTAGTCTCTTCTACTCAGTTTCCTCATTTTCATTATCTTTACCAAAAATATGTGAATTCAAAAAGTCACTTATAAATGAGGCCCTTTGTGATTGTTGTGAGGATTAAACAAGTTAGTGTGGAGAAAACCCTGAGCACAGCACTTGGCACATTGTTAGCACTCAGTAAAAGTTAACTGTCATAGAAGTAGTAGTAATAGTCATTCCTATTGTCATTTGATTATATTTATTAACATAGCTTTATTGCTAATTTCACTCCTTCTACCCCCAGATTATATTCGAACATTTACATGGGACAAAAAGCTTGAGATGGTTGTGAAATCAACAGGAATTTTAGGCGGACAAGGTGAGCAGAATTTTTGTTTTGTTTAAATTGTTCACATATATTTCTTATCAGTTAAAATTTTAAAAGTGGATACTGATTCTTTTTTTTAGTTGTAAAAAATAAGTGATTATCATTGATTTCATTGTCATTTCTAAAGTGACCAAACAATAATGAGAATTGTATAGGTGGGGAAATACTGGGTGTACATTTGAGTTAAAATGTCAGAGGTTCTCAAAAAGATTTCTTAAAAAGCCAGATGTTCTGAATAAGAGATTGTCTTTAATTAACACTTGAGACTTCCAAGTTCTCTAAGCACTGTTAGCCTCATTTGTGCTTTTAGACATCTCTCATCTCTAGGCAGGAGCTAGTTTTTTTAAACAGAAACTCCTACGAGGTAGGACCTTGTCCCATGACATGTGGCATAGCGGATAACCTTTGCTGCTCACTTAGACTGCTTCTGCATGTGTATCTTTATGGCAGTTTATATGAAAGAACATGGTCAGTTGACTTCAGTTGCCCAATCATTTAACAGCTTTCCCCCCCTTTCTCTTTCATAATCTTAGGTAAAATGCCAACAGTGGTGTCTCCGGAGTTATACAGGACTAGGTTTTGTGAGGCAATGGACAAGTATTTCCTAATGGTACCAGACCACTGGACAGGCTTGGGTCTGAATTGCTGAAATCAAGCACATATTTTGAAATGGACTGTGAAGGAAAAGGGGACAGGAACAAAGGACCAAAAATAAGCTACATGTTTTATTTGTTCATCGTGTTCACCACTGTATACAAAGGCTTTTCAGTTCTGTGGCTCTTTAGACTGTCCGTAATGGAATAGTAAAAACTCCCATGAATTTGCACTTTGGTTTTTGATACCTGTGGATTAGCTGTCTATAGGTTGGGAAGTGGCGTGAAAATTTTCTTAAGCTAAAATACAGACATGCTTCAAAGGGCTAAAGTTGGAGATGAGTAGATAGGGTAAAAAATGGGTTAAATTTGCTAGCTTAATTGTTTTAAGAAGAAAACAATGTCTCATAAATTGACTATCCTGGCATCACATTTAACACATTCTCTACTTAGAAAGCATTTGTAGAGCTGCTGAATTTGTTTTGTGTTTTTCTGTAATAATTTAATGTTACTTATTAGAATTTCTGAAACCTTTACAAAAATTCTGATTTATTCCATTAATGGCCAGTTAAACACGTGGGCATTTATTGTTTTATTGAGGAATTTGACTTAAACTGAGAATCCTGTCATGTTCTTCATCTTTCCAGCTTGCCTGTTTTTTAGTATGTTTGATGTTTTTAAAATTTTGCTTTCTCTGTAGATGACAGGAGGCTACAGCCATTAACTTTAAGCCTTCTTTTTGCGATATTTTTAAAACTTGTTTAAAACTTTTGTGCAATTGATATATTAAACTGCATTTACTTGCGTATGCTCATATTCTAGGGTTTTTTCTCTATTTTCAGGGTATCATAATAAATCATTAGTAAATGAGTCTGTAGTTACTAAACCCTAATGAAATAATTATTAATAAAGGATTTTTAAAATATAAAATAAATTAGGCCCAATCCAAGAAATTGAGTGAGAGGGAAACACTTGTTTTTTTCAGAGGCAAAGTGTCTTTTCAGTATAACCAGCAATTTATTAGTGGCATCTATAAAATAAAAAAATTTCCACTTGGACATCCCCTTTCCAGCTTTCTACATAATGGCTAGTTCTGACTGCTAAAAAATGTTAAGAAATAGGCTGGGTGCGATGGCTCATGCCTATAATCCTAGCACTTTGGGAGGCCGAGGCAGGCAGATCACCCGAGGTCAGGAGTTCAAGACCAGCCTGGCCAACATGACAAAACCCCGTCTCTACTAAAAAGACAAAAAATTAGCCAGTCGTGGTGGCATATACCTGTAACCCCAACTACTTGGGTGGCTGAGGCAGGAGAATTGTTTGAACCTGGGAGGCGGAGGCTGCGGTGAGCTGGGATTATACCATTGCATTCTAGCCTGGGCAACAGAGCAAGACTCTGTCTCAAAAAAACAAAATGAAACAAACAAAAAAAGAAAGTTGTTCTTAGTAAGGAACTTCTTGTTTAATAGCATTTTTGTTTAAAAAGTGATCAGAAGTAGTAAACTATCTTTGAGGAAATACTGTAACCCCAGAATATTTCCTCTTGACTTCTTTTTGTAACAAGGATAATTTAGGGATTTATAAAGTTGTAAGGATTTCACTGTTTTTGGACTGCCTATAATAATAGCACATTAGCCTTCACCTAATAAGAAATCTGGACAAGTTCAGTTACACAGTATGATGAATACTTGAGTAGGAACATTATAGAAAATTTGCTTTAGAGAATGAAGGCAGTAGGTTGGTATTTGATGCTTATTAAAAATGTGGTTTGTTTTGAACTGGAAGCAAGTTGACCAAGGACTTATGACTAATGTGATGCTAAGTTCTGCTTGGCCCCTTTTAAAAATGTGTATGTGCCTTTTAAAGATACACAAAACACTGAGGATTTTAGTTTTGAAATCAAAGACTAGTAAAGGAGCTGTACAGAAGTAAAAAAATAAATGTGGAACATTATTCGCTTATTTTGTGTCCAGGAACAGTGGATTTTGTATCTGATTTAAAATGCCAACAGTGTCTTGTCTCTGTTCATTTTTTCTGTGAGGATACTTAGTGTTATTTATCCTGTCCATTTCCTGTACTCCCCTAGTCATGAACACTTGAAGTATGAGGTGTCTCCTACTAGGTGCAATCAGGTTGTTTCTTTTAGTTTCAATTCTATGTGCATAGCAGGAATGCTCAATAGGAATGGCTTCTGACAATAATGTGTCCTGTTGATTTTCTTTTCCTTGCCCATGGCTTGAACAACTGTGTTTTAAAGTACTTTTGTCTAGTAGGTAACTTTGTGGCAGAAATTTTCAATATAATACATTCTGAAACAGTAGTTGTTGCCTTGCAAAGGTAATCTCTCCTTTTAAAATTGGACAATATTAATGAAGGGGAAATGTAAAATTTAACTATTTCTGTTGAGTGGTAGAACTGTATGTCTGGTCCCTTGCAGCTCTTGTTTAGGCCACTATCATAGATATGAGATATTTCAAATACTGTACTACTCAGTGTTAAGTATTGAATGGCTGTTTTCCTCTCCTTCAAGGCCTAGAGTATATTAATTCTGCAAATTTAGGAATGAGGAAGAAATCTTAATACTTCCTTCCTTAACATACAATATGAGTCCCAAGAATAATTGATAGTAGCAAGAGAAAACTATGTCAGTAACATGTTGCTTTGTACAAAAATCTTATTTATAAATGTGAAGCTTTTTGATGCCATCAAAACTTATTAAAAAATAGGAAGGATTTACTTTTTTCTAATTCTGACATAAGAAAAATAATGAGAATAAGCTGTTGCAAGCTCTTTTGTAGTTTATTGAATACTTTATATTCAAAATTTCTTACAAACTATAATTTTTTCCATGATTTAGCAGTGAATGGTTTTCTAGCTTTGGCTCTTATTAGATATTGTAAATACTAGGGTTATATTGACATCAGCTTTTGTGATGGCTTTGTGGTCATCAGCTTCATGACATTTTACCCATTTGCAGTGACCCTGTATAAAACTGCCAAGGGAAGTAATTATCTGTAGGAGTTTGCTGAGCTTGAAGAGTGAAAAGTGTTGTGAATGAGCCTGATCATAAAACGGATCAAGCCATTCATTATTCCTCAAGTATTAATATACTGACTTATACAGTATTTAAACCATCTAGTGCAATCCCTTTTTGTTTTTTTTTGTTTGTTTTTGTAACACAGGTGCAGTGTATTATAGAAAAAATAAAAACTACAATCATTAGCAGTTTTAATACTGCTGTGTCAGTTTTGTAAAAAATGTACATTGTCTTTTGACATGTTGAATTTTAAACTAGAGAAATGACATTGTAAATCATAGTAGCCTCTTTTAATTTAATACGAAAAATGCCACTATATTGAAAGTACTTAATGTATTATATTGTATATATTTCTCTACTTTGGTTCTAGCTATTTTATATGATTGATATGTTATTTAAAAGATAACTGCCTTGAACTTTTGGAGACTTGTAATGTAAATAAAGAAATCTTAACAAACTGAGAATCTACTTACTCAACTTAGTTTTGAATCTGCTTGAAGAAATTGACAACAAAAGGAAATGGAGTTTGTCCTGCAAGCCTAGTCTCTGTGTTACTGATGGAGGGTGTCCAGGTTCTTGGCGTTTTGAACAAAGAATTGGACAAAACACACAAAGCAAGGAAAGAATGAAGCAACAAAAGCAGAGATTTATTGAAAACGAAAGTACATTCATTCCACAGGGTTGGAGCACTGGGGCACAAAAGCTCCCGTTACAGAACTTTCTGGGGTTTAAATACCCTCTAGGGATTTCCCATTGGTTACTTGGTGTACACCCTGTGTAAATGAATTAGTGGCCTGCAATCAGTCTGATGTGTTACAGAAAGCAACCCATCAGGCTGAAGTGAAGTTAGAAAGGTTAAACCCTATGCAAGCGTCTGGTTGTGGAAAACAACCAATCAGAAGCTCAAGTTACAAAGGTTACAGCCTATGCAAGCATCTGATTGGTTTTGGAAAGCAACCAATCAGAGGCTGAAGTGAAGTTACAAAGTTACACTCCTACGCCAATGTCTGGTTGCAGAAAGCAGCCAATCAGAGATACTTTAAATTTTCCGTCTGCCATGCAGAAAAGGGAGGAGGGTGCTTGCAAAGGGAGTCACCCTGAATCGGCCTTAGGTTCCCTGCCTCCAGACTATTCTGCTTCATCTGGCCTGGCAGTGTGGCTTTCTGTTCTTCTGTTCTCTTCCTGGTTAACCACTGGAGAATCCGTAACTTAGGTAAACCCACAGTTCATTTCAGCCAATAATGGGCAAGCAGCATTGCCCTTCTTCTTCTGATAGGGCACTAAAGGAAGAAGTCCCGCCCTCTTCCATTTGCGATTGGCTGAGCTTGTGGATGGGCAGGGCTCTCCTCTGCCAGTGCCTCCGTGCTCCAGGGGACCAAAGGTCCCCCTACGCGAGGGGAGGCTTCCGTCCCACAGGAACTCACACCTGTGGGCACGAAGCCAGGAGACCCATCCCCTGCCTGGGTTCATGCAAGGGAAGGCGAGGGTCACTGGGTAGAGCGTGCTCTGAGAGGTGGCTGGGCTGGTGGCCAGCTGTGCAGGGAGACTGGGAGGTGGCAGATCTGCGGGGCGCCCAGTCGCTGCCTCCATGTTCTCGTGCTGGGCGGGAGGAGCGGATGTGGCTCGGGAGGCAGCCCGCGCTCCAGTCCCCATCCACCCACAGGTTTCTTGGAGAGAAATTATCTGATAAAATTCCTGGGTTAATATTTTAAAAAATGGAGAGTTTTTAAAAATGATTTTTCCCTTGAAAATGACCTTTTTATGCTTCAAAGCAGTTTATCACCAGCATAGTGCTTTTTCTTTTCTCTTCTTTTTCTACGGTAAACGAAAGCATTTCTTCAAGAAGAAGGCACAGGTTCCTTGAACAGGTAAGAAGAGCTCCCCACTTGTCCTCCCGCCTTCCGCGGAAGCAGCCCCCATGGGGTCTCCTACTGGTCCCTAGGAACTTTCGTGTCACACCCGGAGCTGTGGCCTCCCCGAGCCCCTCGGGGTCCCTTCCCTAGCTGGGATGAGGTCAGAGTGCTCCTCGCAGGTCACTTGGTCCTGAGGTCCTTGCTCAGGCGCTGGGCATGCCTGGGGTGCAGAACCGTGGTTCTGGGCCAGACCTGGCTGAGACTGTGCTTGTGCAGCGAGTGGAGGCCGCTCCCAGGGCCCTGCCGCCCTCCCGCTCGCTTGAGGCTCTGGAGTCTGGCGGATGGCAAGCCACCCTAGGAGCTCTACCTGGCCTCGTCCATCCAGCCACCCACCAAGCGCCAGGGTAAAACAGCACCTGGAAGCAGTTGTGGCCTGCTGCCACCAGGTGCCTTCTGTGATGAAGCTGGGGACCAGGGTTGCAAGGCCCTCCTCTTGTTGGCATCAGCCAGGCACGCAGTGCTGTCTTGGCTGACCCAGGCCGTAGGGCACCCGTTGACTGAGAAACCAACCTGAGTACCCAGCCGCACCTACCGCTGGCCTCAGACATCAGCACCCCAAAGGGTATGTTGGAGTCCCATGGTGGAGGTGCCGGCCGCTCCTCCACGCACTTGATGTATACCGAGGATCCTGTGCTTGACATCGCAGGAGGCATTAGCCAGGAGCACGTTGCTGGGATGCCAGTCCAGGCTGAGGATGGTGGAGCCAATGGGCTTCTTGATGTACTTGCACACCCACCAGTTATTCTCCCACTGGAAACAACACATGGCGATAACACACAGCTGCCACCCACAGCAAACTTGTGCTGTGGGCCCAACACACACAGCAGGCAGTGGGTGTGGACTTACCCGCCCAGTCCATCAGCATCCACACAGAGGCCTTGTGGCCTGTACCACAGGTCATGATGAGGTTACTCTTGGAGGCCCAGTTGATGCCTGTTACCTGCCCGTTGTGCTCCTTGAGCTCGGGCACCTTGGCCCACTTGGCCCCACTCTTACAGCTGTGCACTTCGTGGTTGTTGAGGCAGATGGTGGCCATCTGGGTGCGGCCCTTGCTCCAGGCTTGGCAGCGATGGGTTCCTGCAGTCAGCTGTGGGAGGTTGTAGTTGCTCTCCTTTTCAGAGTACTCCAGCTGCAGACTCTGGGCAGGACGCACACAACCAGTGCTCTGGTTTTTTGAAGTAAAAAATGCATAATGCAATTTTACCATCTTAGCCATTATTTAATTGTAAAATCTGGTAGTGTTAAGTGTAACTGTGTTGTTGTGAAACAGATCTCCACAACTTTTTCATCTTGCAAAACTAAGTAACTCCTCTTTCCCCCTACTCCCAAGCTCCAGGTAATTACTGTTTCTGTTTCTATGAATTTGACTACTTACATTACCTCATATAAATGGGCTCATAAGTATTTGTTTTTTCTTGCCTGGTGACATCACTTAGCATAATTTCTTAAGGTTCATTCAAGTTGTGGCGCGTCAGGATTTCTTTCTTTCTTTTTTTTTTTTTAAAAAAAAGGATGAAGACTATTCCTTTGTATGTATATACCACATTTTGTTTATCCATTCATATTTCTTCAAATGTTTGGGTTGTGTGATGTTTAATTATGTGTCAGCTTGACTGGGCAAAGGGTTGCCCAGATAACTGGTAAAACATTATTTCCAGAAGAGACTAGCATTTGAATTGGCAGGCTGAATAAAGAAGATCTGCCCTCATCAATGTGGATGGGCCAGAACAAAACAAAAAGGTGGAGAAAGGACCAATTCTCTCCCCACCACCCCCGTGCCCTTGAGCTGGGACATCCATCTTCTGCCATCAGACATCAGAACTTCTGGTTCTCAGGCCTTCAGACCCCAGAAGTTATACCAGTGGTTTCCCTGGTTCTTAGGCTTTTGGACTCAGACTGCGGTTTCACTGTATGTTTCCCTGATTCTCAGGCCTTTGGACTTGAACTGAATTACAGCATGAACTTTCCTAGTTCTCTAGCTTCCATACGGCATATTGTGGGACTTCTTGACCTCCATAATCATGTGAGCTAATCGTATCTATTTCATACAGATATGATATCTATATATCAATCCTATAGATAAATAGATGTCTCATATGTATATCAATGTCTCTATATAGATGTCTCACATATGGTATCTGTGTATCTACTTCATCTCTATATATCTAATCATCTATATATAGATGTCTCATATCTATATAGATATATCTATATCATAGATGCATAGGTATCATATATATGTCTGTTTCTTTGGAGAATTCTGACTGATACAGGTTGCTTCCACCTTTTGGCTGTCATGAGTAATGCTGCTGTAACCATGGGTATGCAAATACTTCTTTGAGACTCTGCTTGAAGTTATTTTGGGTAAATACCGAGAAGTGGATTGCTGGATGATTTGGTGGTTCTAATTTTAATATTTTGAGGAAATTCCATATTGTTTTCCATAGTGGTTGCACCATTTTATAATCTCACCAAGAGTGCACAGGGTTTCAATTTCTCTACATCCTTACCAACACTTGTTTGTGTGTGTGTGTGTGTGTGTGTGTGTTTAGTGGATGTCCTAATGGGTGTGAGGTGACATTTCACTGTGATTCTGATTTGTACATCTCTGATGATTGGTGGTGTTGAGCATCCTTCCATATGCTTGTTGGTCGTTTATATATCATCTTTGGAAAAAATGTCTATTCAAGTCTTTTGCCTATTGTTTTTCCTTCCAGCTTTTATTTTAGGTTTGGGGGTACATGTGCAGGTTTGTTACATGGATAAATTGTGTGTCATGGGGGTTTGTTGTACAGATTATTTGGTCGCCTAGGTAAATGAGCATAGTACCTGATAGGTAGTTTTTTGACCTTCCCCCTTCTTCCACCCTCCACCCTGAAGTAGGCCCCAGTGTTTATTATTCCCTTGTTAGTGTCCGTGTGTACTCAATGTTTAGCTCCCACTTATAAGTGAGAAAATGTGGTATTTGGTTTTCTGTTCTTGCATTAACTTGCTTAGAATGATGGCCTCCAGCAGCATCTATGTTGCTGCAAAGGACATGATTTCATTCTTCTTTATCGCTGCATAGTATTCTGTGGTGTATATGTACCACATTTTCTTTATCCAGTCCACTGCTGATGGGCATCTAGGTTGATTCCATGTCTTTGATATTGTGAATAGTACTATGATGAACATATGTGTGCATGTGTCTTTGTGGCAGAACAATTTACATTTCTTTGGGTATATACCCAGTAATGGAGTTGCTGGGTCGAATGATCATTCACTTTTAAGTTCTTTAAGAAATTCTAAACCTCTTTCCCCAGTGGCTGAACTAACTTACATTCCCATCAGCAATGTCTAAGTGTTCCATTTTCTCCACAACCTCACTAACATCTGTTATTTTTTGACTTTTTAATGATAGCCATTTTGACTCATATGAGATCGTATCTCTCTGTGGTTTTGACTTGCATTTCTCTGATGATTAGTGATGTAGAGCATTTTTTCAAATGCTTGTTGGCTGCATGTGTCTTCTTTTGAGAAGTGTCTGCTCATATCCTTTGCCCACTTTTTAATGGGCTTCTTT